TTCTTATATAAATGAATAATGATAATATTTAAACTATCAAGTTTAAACCAGATTATATCTTATATAATAAATAATAAATTAGATGTATTTTTACATATTTTTGATATTATATTTTTGAGAAATGGTCATATTATTATATATTCATATTCTTAGAAGTAAGAAAAAGTATGACTATAAAGAAGTTGTGACTATAAAAAAGTTGTGACTATAGAGAACAAATCTTCTATGAGAAGTATATAATTATAGAAAGTGTAACTAGAGATAGATAAATACATATATAATATATTCATGTAATGTATATAATGATCTATATATATATATATATATAGTAATTAAATATGCAATATAAATTTATAAAAATTAATAATAATTTTATTATTTATAACTATTATATATATTTATCAATAATTATCACTATCACTTGATATTTCTAATATATCATTACTATTATCTGATATATTAATTATTCATTATTATTACCATTTGATATTTACTTTCATTATTATCTTGATATTCACTTTCATCACTCTCATTATCAGTATAATATTATTTCATTATTAATGCTTTTTTTGAAAAATTTTTTTGATTATCTGGAGAAGTTTGTAATTTATAATTACTATAAATATAAACTAATTTAAAAATGTACTTACTACTTAACTGATTTCTTTTTTTATTATAAATATTTGCAAAAGCTGACTGGTTACATTCAGAAGCTGCAAATAATATTGGAATTATTAAGATATGTCATGCTAATTGTGTTAATTCAGGCATTGCTTGTGCAATATTTGCAATTCATCAAGTAATTGGATCAAGATTATCAATTCACTCACATATCAATATATTACTAAAAAGATCTGATTTTGCTTTGTATTGTATAAGTTAACTTTCAGGTAAATTTGCATTGAGTAAACTTGTATTAGTAATTCTGGATTTTTAAAGTTCATACCAAAAAAATGATTATTTAACTTCAATTGAGACATTTGGATATACATACAGATGTGACTTACACTGAATTACTGAATTATTGCATTAATATTTGGAATTTTTACAGTATTTACATTCTGCATGCTATTGTTGAAATCTAACAATATGAATAATTTCCCATATAAAACTTCAAGAAGCTATAATAATAAAATATGTACAACAATAAAGATGTAAATATTTATCATTATCATTATACGTATGTTCTGTATGAATGCATTAGTTTATCATTATTTATTGAGTACAAATGCTTATTGGACATTTACAATATCAGTTAGTAACTATGCGCATAGGCACATCTCTAAGTGTAACTCTATAAGATATGACTTTATGAAGCATCAACCTTTATATAGTCCCACTTTTAGCTGCTCAAAAGGGTGTAATTATATGGAGGTATGATGCATAGCAAACAGAATGTAGAATCTGTGAAAATAAAAATTTTCATAATTCTAATTTATAAATACATGCATATGTAATAAGCAATTCTTCATTATACTTAAAAGAGAACAAATAAATATAGAAAAGCAATTATCACCAAGAAAAGATTATTCAATTCAATTAATATATTTCAGAAAGTGGAAAGGATTAAATATTTTTAAACAAATTATGCTAAAATTATTAGCTAGAATAGATTTCTTCAAATTAAAAGATTCAATCATTCCAGGTGCTTGATCGTGTCCATTTTCTATGGCTACTTCAATGCTAAATTGAGATTTTTCGAAACACCTATTCCCATATTGATAGGATTTTCAAGATTAAATTGAGTCTTATTGTATCCGGACTCTGCAGCGTTTAGGTACCAATAAAATGTTTCTTTATCATCTTTATTTGTCCTTTCTCCATATTCATAGCATTGCCCTAGTCGAAAATAGAAATGAGAACTATCATTTTTAGACAAGTTTAAAAGATGTTTAAATAAAGTTTCTTCCATATCAATTGAAACTAACTTTCTTTGATAGCTAACTAAATTTTTTTGATAGCTATATCTTAATAAAAACTGACTTCTTTCATCACCGGAATTAGCTAATTTTGAAAGTAATGCTAATACTTTACTTCCATCTTTTTTTATTCTGAGCTCATCGTAAGATATGCCAAGATTATATTGCGCATAAAGGTGTCCCGACTCTGCTGCTTTCGAATAATACTCGAGTGCTTTTTGTTCATCTTTGATTGTTCCTATTCCATTTCTGTAATAGATCGCAAGACTATATTGCGCATCAAGTGTCCTGACTCTGCAGCTTTCAAGTACCACTCGATTGCTTTTAGTTTATCTTTGATTGTTCCTTCTCTATTTTTATAACAGAAAGCAAGATTATATTGCGCATCAAGGTGTCCTGACTCTGCTGTTTTCGAATAACACTCGAATGCCTTTTTTTATCCAATCCTCGTCATTATATAATTATCCAATTAAATATGTCAATTTTTGATAATACTTCAAAGTTTGACTAATCTTTTTCAGTAATCAAACCAATATAACAAATAAAGTTCAGGATTTTTTCATATAAAAAATTATCTTGTAACTCTTGCGAGAATTTTATTTTTTCAACGAGCGGTTGAATATTTTTGAGAAAATTTCTCTAAATTAGCTTCGTAATTTTTATTGAATTTAAAAATATTTTTAAAGAGAATCAACAAATCATCCATTCTTGTTTAATTCACTTTCTTGCTAGTTCGGTTTAATTTTTATTTGTGCTTTTTTACCATAATAAATAAAGATGATGTTAAATGACTTTCTACTTGATCTGAAATATTTAAATTTATACTTGTTGGAATTGATAAAGATGATGGTGTTAGAGTGATTTCCTCCTTCAATAAATTTTGAATATTTTTTCAATTGTCAAAGAACTACTGCAACGTTTGTCAAAACGATAAATGAGTTCATTTTATCGTGATACATGTACATGTACTACATGTATCTACTGTTACCAAAGCAATAACTATGCTATGTTAAGGAACCGTACATGTTCCTCTGCATGTGACCATCCTGTGACAATTTTCATGCGCCGTCCTACATTTGAAACAAATAAAAATTAGAAAAGAAAATAACAATAAAAAATTCATAAAAATTTATATAACAATGAACGCTGTAGAAATAGAACATTTTGCGTCAACCAATCTGCCAATTTACAACAATCAATGTTTTTTTTATAGTAAGAACTTTATACGACCTTTTTCTTTTGATAATAGATATTTGACATACATACCAGTCAATTATTTCGAATTGTAAATGTTTCGGCCATCCTACAAAATAGAATAGCCATTAGTCTAGTTTTTATTATGGTTTTTCGCCCATTTGTTTCAAAACATATCACCAAACTTGTATCAAAATATGTACATAAAATTAATGTAAATAGACCCGTTCTTAAGCTCCAATCAAGGACAAATGAAAATAAAATAAAGTTCAAAGTAATTAAAGAGAATTACCACTTGCTTTTATCACTTCGAGTTTTGTCGCTTTTACCGAAGAAAGCCGTGTATCTTGATAATCGCTTTGATTGTTCCCTTTGTAGGATACTTGAACCGTAAAGAGACTTTGTACAGCATCGTAATCCGTACCCAAGAAATCTAAACAAACTAATAATAAAAATAGTCTCCTCTTTATCAGCATAATCCCCTTTGTCCCTTACCAATTACTCACCCACTAAATAAATACATTCACCTTTAACATCAACAGTAACCGTAGTTACTGGCACAAGTCCTTAAGATACCCAACAAAAAAGATCTGATCGTCCCCAAAAAAGCTCAATAGGACATACGCACTATCTCACTTTGAAAATCAATAGAACAACACGAATGATGCAGTCAGATATTGTATTTGCTGTTGTTCTTTCAATAGCGAGAATGTCATAAGAATTTTTAAGGTAAACTTTAAAAAATCGTGAACAATATTTTAATCTATATGTCATTATTCTTTTAAGTACAGTGTGCAAGATCGATTTGTCAAAGCATGAATTGTACTTTTAGATTTATTAGTTTATTTGCTACTGCTAATGAATTGGTTCTTGAAAAATTATTATTAAAGTAAAACCTGAATTTATGGTTGAAAGTTTTGCTATGAAACTCCAGAAATTCTGTACAAGTCAGAAATCAAAACAGTAGTCATCTCTTTGTTTAAACGAATTTATTTGAGCTTGACATTTGGGAAAACGGTCCTTGAATGAGGGATTATTGAATAATTCAAAATGCCTACTTCTAAAAACTAAATTATTAATTAGTTTAACGAATTCAACGTTACACTCAAATTGTCTATAAAGTAAATGGATAAATAAAAAGATATCCATTATTACACGGCGCGGCAGCAGAGGTGAATTCACGAAAGATTTCCGCAATACGTACAATCTGAAATACTCCTTGCTTTTGGGTGAACGACGACGATACTACATTTTTGTAGGAATTTTTTGGGAACACGTTGCATGATGATTACTATATCATTAGCGCTTTAAAAATGTATCAATTTTTATCAAGGCTTATAAAAATACATTGCTTTTATCCATGTGTCATATTTTCAAAACTTGTCATTTTTGATTTCTTAAAAAACATTATATTTTCTTTTTATTGAATATATTTTAAGAGGATGGAATCGCAAAAGAAGTCAAACAAAAGAAAAAAGTGAAACTGACACTGATTATTTTAATAAAAATTATGAGGAAATTAACTTATTCTCTGAAGATTCCTCACCAAGAGCACCAGAAAAAAATACGAAGATCATATTGACGGAACCAAAGATCACGTATATATGATAACTCACCATATAGTGCGTCACCGTGTAATGTAGTTGTGCCTAAATACCCAGCTGCTACAACACCGCCTCCTCGACTGACATTCCAGCAAAAAATAAAACGTCAAATACGACGAATTCTCGAACGTCTTTTTAGTTGGTTTCGCTAATTTGAGAATGTTGTCGAAAAGAAATCCATTCGGCGTTTGATCAAGTGTATGAAACAATTACCAATGTTTAAAGATTCAGATCATACAGAAGAGAAGTTTTCCGATGCTCTTATTCTGTTACAGATAAAATTATGTCAAAATATGGCATAGAAAAGGACAATGTCGTGAAGGTATTTGTGAAAAATTAAATATGCTAATAATGAATCAAAGGCAGCAAATGAGAGTTACAACATGAATCGAAAGACACAAAATTTAGATGAAAATCCTGATGAAATTATAAGATCATCCTATGAAAAAGTTTTCAAAACCGCAAAAGAAAGTGCAAAGAGAGTTACAAATGTAATTGAAAATACTCTCACAAGTCAATTCACGCCCTCAGAAGGTGTAAGTTACGCTTCTCATTTGTCACGAACATATAATAATGCACCAAGTGGGCAATTTTGCTAGTAATGAAAAAGATCAAACTGTTAATTCAATAGAAATAAACGCATTATATTGCGCGATTTTTGTTCTATATTTTCTTTATTTAAGAATTAATCTCTGGCAGCAACGTAGAAGAACAGCAGTATTTGTTGGTGACCGTTCAATTGAAATATTTAAATCAATGCAGAATATTTCTGCAAGTAATGATGAAATATCTATTCCAAACGGACAATCAACACAGCAGCGGATGAACATTATAGGTGACAATCAAGGTAACCGAGAGAATATCTAAAGATTTCTAATCATGATTCATTATTAAGAAGTCCAATTTAAAAATTAAATAGTAGTTACCACATCTAGATCAAATCAACATCGCACATTTTATCAAGCACCTTCGCCACGTGATTACGAGTCTCTTATGAAACTTTGCGAAGCGTGCAATTTCTATAATCACAGTACCCGTCGGTCTATCGAATACCATTCTTAGTTACAGTACTCTATTATATATTCATGGAGGATTATTTGGTCATTCACAGGAATTTTGTTCTTGGATGAAAAGAAGTAGCATAGCAGATTGGCGGCGGCGGCAAGTTTTTCTTGCGGTTGGTTGGCATTGCCAAATATTTTAGATTTATGAGGGGATATTTAATGCTATAATAAGGGTTGTTAATGAAGTGCTCCGGCTTATATTAAAACATATAACCCGCTGCGCCGGAGTAGGTTATATGTTTAATATATACTGAGGTACTCCATTAACAACCCTAGCTATAATACTTTTAGCTTTTAACATAAATCTAGTTAAAATCAAATTTCTCACAGCTCAAAGAAAGAGGTTTCGAAAGAGCAAATAATATTATGAATGACCGCTAGTCATTACTTTCAGTCAACAATTATTTATTTTTCATGTTTAATTACATTTTCGAATTCAAAGCTATCTTAAAGTCTCTACTCTATTGCATTAACAACACGAAGGTAAATTATATTTTTTAACTATAATGCTCGAATTTACAAATGCAAAATGTAAAATAATACCTTTAGAAATTATTAACGAATATTTAATCCACTGCATATAATCATTATGAAATATTTCTTTCTGTGATTATTTCCATTGTACATGTAGTTAAAATATAGTAATTATTTTGTGAAGATCGTTCATTAGCTTGACAATTGAAATTTTTATATCTGACGTTAAATCACCACATTAAAGTTCAAAGAATAATTATATATAGTATTGCCACATTCGATTTATAAGCTAAGTTAACTAAAGAATTATTATAAATGCGACAAGGGTTAAGAACTAAAATGAATGATTTACGCAAACTGGGGTTCTAAAGGTCGCCTGCGTCAATCTACACAGAGATTGTGTAATCAAAAAGGTAAATGAATTTTTAAGGGACGAAGTATTTAATTCTAAATAACAAAAATATACAGTCAACCCTCTATATACCGATGTAAATGTTTTTGGCCTGATGTGCCGGTATAAAAAGAGATCGGTATATATTGTAAACCGATGTTTATAATAAAGTCACAGGAAAATCGGTATATAAAAAACTTGTATCCCGATTTATTAAAAGTCACGTGCTAATAACGAACAACCAACTCAATATTTAACTTTAATTTGAGTTTCGAATAACAAAATTATCCATATGTTACCCGAAAATTGCCATTTAAGGCTCTTTCAATTTCAAAGTCACCTGGGGGGTTTCATAAAAACACAAGCATATGTTTCAGAGATGCCAATACTTTAATTGGTGGAATAACAGGAAGGTTTTCCTCATTGGAATTGTACTGGTCTTTAGTCTCTGGTGGCCAGCTACTTGCAACAATATCATCATCAGTTAGCTCAACATTATCATTGATTAGAATGTGATTGATACTAATATATTTATCTGCTATCACCAAATAATTATTGAACATCTTCATGTTCATATTTAGCATTTATCACTAAATATTTTCGGAGATATTGCAAGTATCAGATACATCACATAAAGAAGATAAAATTCCTATTTTTTTTACAACAATTTTTAATCATTTCTTATGTAATTGTACTCTATGCACAACCAACAAAATTGATAACATTCATAATTATCATAGGTAAAATTATATCAGATTTAATTCATGTGTAAATTATATATTTCAATCCAATTTTTGATTAATAGCTTGTGATATTGAGCCTAATAAAAGAAAATAATTTATTAATATACAAATACAAATTAATTTTATTTAAAATTTATATTATCTTAGAAATATTAATAATTTCTGCATCACTGAATATTATATTTGATAATAAGAAATAAATCTTGATATTTGTAAGCATATCAGAATTTTTGATAGCATGAATAGATGAATTAAAAACTAATAAAAGAATTTTTCTTTTTCATAATTCATATGAGTATTCAATTTTTAAGATAATTATTACAGATAGAAATTTATATTCAAGCAGTCTGATTTCAATAATATTATACTGGTAATATTAATTTTTTATATTTATTTAGAGCTTGAAAACTTGATATTTGTAAATAAATAATGGTTTAGATTTTTTCATTCTGATAATATTGCAAGTTAACAAAATTATAACTTGATTCTTAGATTATTTTGTTTTAAAAATTATACTTATAAAAAGAATTTTTACTAGCTTATATTTCTAATATAATATAATCAAATCTTATTGTACTGATACTTTCATTTTACCAAAAATTTATCAGTATAGCCAGAGTATTAATAGATTGGGATATTTTTTCTTACTAATAATATGTAAATAATATGTAAAATATTAATATATCAAGTTTTATTATTTACTTGTATATATTAATCATTATAAATAAAATTATCAATAGATATTTGCATTTTCTTTTAGATAGAGTAAGTTAACAAATCACTTTTTAAATTCTAAATTTTAAAAAATAAACTTCTGTTATAAGCAAACTTAATAAGTGAATTGAAAAGAAAGTCAGATAATACCTGTAAGCTTTCTAAAGCAGACTTAATACTTATGTTAGGATAAATAATCAGTTTTTTAATTTCATCTTCCTCTAAGAGAGAATAATTTATTATAGATACTATCTCATTATTATTTATATTTCTCTTTTCTATTTCTTTATTAATATTTATATATTACTCTGTTAATATTAAGTTTTTTTAGCCTAAATAATTAATAGAAGATTATAGATTATTCATTTTTAACTCAATAATATTATTAATATTTAATTTATTAATAGTTAATATTTCAATATCAGGTGATAAGATACTGGTTTTTCTTTAGTAATTCTTAATAGTAGTTTTTATAATAGCATTTTATATCTTGATGCAATAAGCTATAGCATTAAGAATATTAACAAGAATAATATTTAAGTTAAATTCATAAGAAAGATTATATAAATTAGCAATATATTATATGAGTAATCAATAATAGTATGTCTACACAGAGTAAAAGTTTTAGTTTAATTCAAGTAATAAATCAAATAGCTTTTATACCTGACTTAAAGAATTTAATAATATCAATATTATATAATTATAAATAAAATATAGTGTTAGAAGGAAAAGAATAAATAGTAATATTAGTTAATTAACTAAATTTTAGGATTATATATATTAATATATTATTTATAAGTAGAAGAATATGATATTATTGATATTGTATTTGAAAATTTAGTTTTTTGAGATAGTCTTCTTAAATGAAGACTTGCATATATATTATCTTGTTCTAATAATATTTAATATATAACTTGTTCTTATTAATTTTATTAAGAGATCATGAAGTCTTATAATGATATATAAGCAAAGATTTAAGTTTCTCAGTATCCAATATATTATAATAAAGAAGAATCATTATATAATTTTTGATTTTTTAATATTAATAACAGAATTTAATATTAAGATTCTTAATAGTTCTAACTGTCAGTATAATACTGTAATATATATTAGATGAAAAAATAAAAATATGAAAAATGAAAACTCAGATGCAAATCAGTTTTATTATAGTTGAAAATATTATATTTATTGTATTCATGAAGTACTTTATGAAGCTTAATATGCTCTTGATCTAGTCTCTTTAATGAAATATTATTTCTTTTCTTTAATTTTATATAAGACTAAATATAATATCTAGACTTATAATGATTAAATTATCTATTAGAATTACCAAATTTCTTAACTTCTAAAAGACTAACAAAATATTTTGCTTTTTGCTTAAGAAGATCAATAATAATAATGATATTATTATAAATAACATATATAAACTATATTGTTAATATCTTTTTAATCTTAGGATATAATAATTTGCATTCTCTTTTTCTTTTTGATAAAATTTTATTATTATTAATAGCTAATAATCTGTCTCATTTATTTTATATATCTGAAATTATATTTTATCTAATTCTATATTGATTTGCAATATTAGTTTAGTTTGAAGCAGACTTTTAAGAAAGTAAAGTACATATTTCTTTTCTTTATATATTGATTAATATAACTTATTATTTCTTACTATTTCCTTTTTTCTTGAGTTTTATATTAATATTAAACTATAATATTTTTACATTTAACATTAATATCAGAATTGATAAAATATAAAAAAATCAATTAATTATAATGCTTAATATCATTCTTAATTTAGTAACTGTTATATAAATATTAATAGAGAGAGATGAGATTTAATAGTAAATGACAATGATATATCAATATAAAGATTATAGTAAGATTTATTATAATTTATTAGTATAATAGAGAAAATTTTCTATTTAAATTTTGGAAATGATATTTTCTATTATTATATTAAGATTATTAATATAGCAGATATTGATACAACAAGATTTAACTATACTATATTATTAAGTAATAGAATTTTAATTTAAAAATTTTAATTATTTAATAATAAATTAATATTATTTATTTTATTATAATTAAAAATATCTTTCAATTTATAATTTTATATTAATTAATATAATTTTTCATATTTATTATCTAGTATAATTAGTAATATACTATTTGCTTCTTCTAATTGATTATATTCTTAAATATAATATCTTTTCTTAAGTCATCAAGTCAATCTCTAATACTTTGAAATTATTATTATTAATATTAAAAGACTTGATAAGTTTATATATTTTTTATTAAAGAACTTCTTCTATTATTATAATATTTTTAAGTAAAGCTTATATAAATTAAATTGTAAGTACTATTATTATTATAATAACATAAAATTCTCTAATTTTATAATTTTTTGTTGATTATATAAAATTTCATTTTTCTATAATTTCATATTTATCATATAATTACTCTTATTTATATATAAATTATATATCTATTTCTTTTATTATATTTATTTCTTATAATCATATTTCTATTTTAAATATTATATTTTAATCTCTTAATTTGAGATCTATATTTTTAATTTATATATTATATATATATTATATACTTAATATAATAATATAATTAAAGATTTTTTTTAATTTTTAGTAAAATAATGAAATATCAATATTTATAATGTTAACAAAATATTAATATTTATAATATTAATAAAATATCAATATTCTAAATATTATATTATACTAGTATTTTGAAATA